AGCAAAATGAGGTTCTGGTCCAAAACTAGGATACTATGTGCTATTTTGCTGTTGTCACTGAAGTGATAAATAATACCATGTTAGAAAATTAGTAATTAAGAAACTTTTAATTCTTCAGCAGGTAAAAGATGCATGGTGTGCACATGCATGCTTACAGCCTCTTGGCTTTTCCTTCCAAAGTTGTCTGTCTCTGATATGAGGGTGGCAAATTATCCCATAAGGAGAATTCATGTGAAGGCCACAAAATGCTGAATTTTACTTTGATTGTCAGTTTACCCTGGAATGCACTTTTGCTTTTAGTAGCTTTTCCATTTTCTCACAGGCACAGAATAGTACTTATCTTACTTCATAGGCAGCCATTATGTCTGTTTTATCCATGTACAAAGCACAGGAGAAATAAAATGATAGGTCCCTTGATAAGTTAAGGGGGATAAACTTTTGAAGTCTACAAATAATGCAATTCCTTTTGGCTGTTTGATTTCAGGTAAGTGCATAGGATGTGAACAGCCTTTTTTTAAACTGAAAGGAATGCATCTGAATGATGGATAACTGCAGTTCAGGTAGAAATACTTTTAGAAGTTGCTTTATGGAGAATTGGCTCACTCCAGCCCAGACTCCTGCTTCTGTTCAATGTAACTGAATGTTAGTTCCTCAGACTGAAAAGAAATCGGTGAAGAAGGAGGAAGTCCTCCTCCTCCTACTCTGTTCGTGGCAGCGTGTATGTGAGCTGCTCAAAAAGCAAAGCTCTGTGCAAGTTCCACAGCTACATTGCTATTTGGTAGCTTGGAGCAGTATCAAGGATGCAGTAGGCCTGTCATTGCAATACTTAATACCCATGCTAGCCAGCTAACAACAATCATTGTATATTGCTTGCTCCCTCTCACTCCTCATGTATGCCAGAGATAGGCAGCATTTGTGCTCTGGTTGTGTTGTTTAGTCTTGGATGACCACATCACATGCAATCTCATCCTCGCCTTGTTGCCAGAAAAAAAATGGTTAGACTTGGCTGCAGGTGGGCCCAAGGCCTGCATCTGCAACTTAACGCAGCTTAAGTATTCAAAGAAACTTACCGTGCATCTTTGTCCCTCTTCCGTCCCTTCTTGCTTTCTTCTGTTGTAATCTTGCATACATTTTCCTGTTATGCAGTAACTATTTTTTCTCAATGCAAGTTTCAGTGTGTACTATTAAAGTACATATCCTGCAACATAATGTGGGCTTCTCCTTATGAAGAAGGTGAGAGTTTATGGATGGAAACATTTTAGCACATACATTATGCTCTCTATTTTTCATCTTCAGTTTCAGTTATTTTTGCGCTTCTGTGTTTTAGTGCACAAATCCCAAATCCTTTCTTCTCTCAGTATAAAGCATGAGAAGCCGAGAGAACAGGGCAGTCATCTTCCTGACTGATGCTACAGAACAGCCGGCAAGAGAAAATATGCCCCCACATAAGGGAGCGAGAATTATGTGAATACAGAGCAAGAAAGAAGCCTTAGTGGACAAAAAGCCTTATATAAGTTCATGTTAAACCAGAAACAGCTGCAGGAATTTAGTTTAAAGTAGTTGGAAAAACAGGTGAAGATTGTTTGCAAAACACCTATGTTAATTTTACCTTCATTTTAGTGGTAGATTGTAACTGGGAATACAGGCCTATGTAGAGGAGGAATTCCAACTCTAGTCAGGTACACAATGTCTTGGGACTAGGCAGGTAAAAACCAGTGATATTTGCTGGAGTAAGCAAGTAAAGAGGTTTGGGACTGAGAAGACTTTAAAGCAAATTACTACTAACTGGGAGCAAAGTTACAATTTTATTGTGGGATGCTCTGGAATGGGACAACTTTGCTCATCGTTTATTTGAGCTCTGTCCTTATATACACAGGTTCTTGCCCTCGCAGGATGAAAATTTCCACCTACTTATTCATTTGTTAGCTAAATTTGGCTACATCTGCCTTGAAAAAAACACAATCAACAATACAAAGCCATGTACATAGCACTGGATTATAGATCTTGGGTTTTTTTTCCCTGATAAATTCTTGAAATACCTTTGTTTATTCCCTCACTTTTCCACTAGCCTTAAGTAGGATATTACAGCTTCAAATGGTAACGCAATATAAGCTGTAAAAACAAAGAAGCTGAAATAAATTCACTGGAATTTGCTCACTGTCAGATAACAAGTACTTTATTTTGCATTTTCCTTGTTTAAATTATTGAGATGAAAATCCAAGAGGATACCTCTAAATACTTAAATGATCTGTTCTTCATTTTTACTATTCCAATATTAACATTTCTTAGCCTAGATTTTGGAAAGCGGTATGTTTTTCTTAGGTGTCAATACCTGATTCAAAGATACTTAAAAGAAAACACCCCTTATTGAACCCAGCTGGCCCTGGATCAGGCTCCTACTGTTTCTTTCAGAATAAAAATAAAATTTGATTTTCAAACAGAATTTCAGTGCTTTTTCATATAGTTCTACCTTAGCGTGGCATGTTATCATTGGCTAAGACCAGTGAACTAAGTGGAAATCATTCATAAGGACAGCAAGGAACAGCACAACTTTTTGATTTCCTTAGTGATGTTTCCTCCCTCTTGCTTTTCCCTTGTGAAATAAATAGGCATAAGAGCTGTTATTGCCAAAAGAGTGGGTAGATTTGTGTTAATGCCTCAAAGCAAATGTCAAAATATAGAAATGTCACAGTCTTGTATGCTTTCGAAGTATATAACCAGATAGATGATTATTTTGCTGTATCTTTTCTTTGAAAACTTTACCATCATCCTCTATGCAATCTTGTATTGGGCACAAATACCGTGCTACATGACAATTTCTTCTTCTAAATTTAGCAGCACAGCTTTGTAACTTTAAGCGGGGACAGGCAGAAGAAAATTTGGGTGGATGATTTCTCTCTCCCTGAAAAGACTGTCTTTCAGAAATAGTCATACCAAAGAAATGCTGAAAGTGGTGAGTCACAGCATTAATGGGTCGAACCATTATTCTGTGCAGGTATATGGGCATACATTTTCAGGATTAGTAAAATGTAGAAGTATTATTTGTAATAAAAATATATTTTAGGATAGTGGCAGGGCTATAATCTCTGAAAATCTGAATTCTAAGGAAAGATTATGACTTGACGGGAAGAGAGATTGACACTTATGAATAAATATGTTCTTTTTCAGACTATTTTTAAAAAAATCACTTAAAATATTTGCTTGAAATGCAAAAGATGTGTAAACCAGACTTTCTAGAATAAAGCATGAGACACCCATATTCAAGATCTATACCATACAGATAAACTCTGCAAAGTGGTGCTTCTGGTGCCTTCTACAGTCCTTTCATTTTGCATGTACTGTTGCCTGACTTTCACAGTGATTTCTCTTTGCTTTCTGCTTGTCTCTTGTTTTCTAACTCTACCCTTGTTGTCTCTTTCATGTCTTTTTTAAACTCGTGCCTCTCTCCTGTTCTTGCCTTCCACATTATTTTGCTTTCTCTGTATTTTTGTTTCTTCAGAGCAAATTTTTTTTTTTCCCCTATTAATTTGTTCCTTCAGACTTATAGTTCCTAAGATGTATCACAACCACAGGCTACTCCTTGTGAAAAAGAAGTGGGATTGGGTTGTAGTTAAAGCCAGTTATGCTGGTATTCAGCATTAACATTTAAACATATATTCCCCCTTTATACAGCATTGACCTACTATTTTTAGGTATTCTTGAGGAATTATCCTAGGGAAACATTTTAATGCTAAGTGCTTTTTGGCCTTTAAAACTGCTCTGGTAGATGAATTAGGGCAATACATTTATTTTTAACCAAAATGATGTTTTTTTCCATCGAAAGTCTCTTTGAAGGATAACTTCACTTGAACTCTCTAAGGAAGCTGTATTCCCAAAGAGTCACATTTTATCAGCTGAAATACTTCATCCTAGTTTGCTGCAGCTGGTATCAGAAAAACATACATGTAGCCTGAACATTAATCTCTACTCAGTAGTGCAGGGTAATGGACTGATAGATGTGCTATTGAATAATGGAGACTACTGGTAGAGATTTGCCTGTTCAGCTCCTGAGCCAGTATGCATGGAAATTAGCAGATGGGCTTCTCTTATATTCATCGTATGTCTCTGTTAAAGGCTTAGGGCATGATTGTTATTGTGGGATCGCACTAATAGCTATGCAAAGCCTTTGCAGAGTCAGTTTAAAATGACAATAAATTAGAATGGTAGCTTTTACCATCTTTGTGCAGGCATTAGTGACAGCATGGGTGTCAAAGAGTGTATGTTCTACTTTGGCTTTGGGAGGATGTTCCTTTTAAGAATATTTAAAAAAAAAAAATCACTTAAAATATTTCCTTGAAATGCAGAGACATGGAAATCAGACTTTCTAGACTAAAGCATCAGACATCCATATTCAAGATCTCTACCATACAGGCCTCAGAAGGAATGTGAATAGAAGCACAAAGGCTCAGGAATCCAGGGAATAGGAAGTACGAGATCCAGGGAAGTCCTGGGAGCTATATCTTCATAATGAGTGAATCTTTCTCTGTTTGTAAGAGGTGTGGGTAAACCATCATTGACTCCTTTTTACTTTCTCTTGCATAGCTACTGCTTTCTGAATATGCGGGCAGGCAGCAGACACTGGGCTGCTTCAGTCTCCAACCTCCTGGTTTCCCAAACACAGAATTTACACCTTATCTGATTAATAACTGGATTAGTTTTATCCTGGAATTTAAAAAGGTTAATTTATTTAAACCTATTGTCTGTGTACTACTGTAGGGCAGAGCTTCTTAGCTTGTTCTCACTCACCATAGCCTCAATCAGGAATGTACTGCCACTGCACTGCCCAGCTTCTCTAGACTCTGTTTCTGTGAACATTAAAAATTTCTTCTCCTTACTAAACACATTAAAATAAATTACACTTGTTTTTGTTTTTAAAAGTATAATCATTTTTTGATTCTTAAATATTTTGAAGGTGCCAATCGTAATGCAACTATCATCTGGCTTGTAAGAGAAAAGGATACTTATGGTCAAAGCCATACCATATTCTGAACAGCCATGCACTCTCAGCTTTGGTTGTACTTTTATCCAAGTTAGATGCACTCTGCAAAATAAACAAAAGAATAAAGTGAAAAGCATTCCTATAACAAATAAAACATGGAGTTCCAATATTAAAAATACACGACGAACTGAATTACAGTTAACTACACTTTTTTTTTAAATTTAGAAAGCTGCTTTGGCGCACAAATGTCATCTCTGTGAATCGGTTCAGGAGCAAATTGGCTCACATAGCACATTTCTTATTGCTATATACTCATTGGAAGAGTGCAGCATTTACTTTTATTAATGATTCCAATTTTATTAAGCAGCTGAGAAGCACTATATTCTGAGATCAATAAAATGATATTTCGATTTAATTGCCATTGTGGGATTACTTCAGTTTACTCCTACAAGATCAGATGTTATTTGTGTATGTCTAACAAAATGTCATTCCCAAAGGGATGGTGATATTCTAATAATTATGACACTACTTTCCTTTCTGTGCTTATTTCCAAGGGGTGAGGAACACAACTTGAGTCAACAACACTCAAAATTCTGCTTTCCATTCTGCAAGCTAATTGTGGGGCATGCCGCACAGGTAGTTAGATGAACTGTCCTTTTACTCAGGGTCATGATTTGGAATAATACAGTAGAAATAGTCATCTGTACAAAGACAGCTAGTTTGGTCATGCTCTAGGCATTGCATCAGTACTAGCAGAAGAATTAGTGGCAGGATGGAATTAGGAATGGGATTGCCAATTCTCTAAGGATACTTCATTATTGTCTTATTTGTGTTTTGCTGCAAGTTAAATTATTTTTTTAATGGGAATATTTTTCTTTATGCAATTTTAAACCAATTTAATACTTTTTATGTTTTAATCTAAGAATATATTAAAATGTAATTTCCTATTATACATTAACATGTAAATTGGCTAATAATAATAATATCAATGGTCTGATCCTCAAAACTGTAAGGTCTAGTTCCAAGCCAACCTGTACATGGGAACTTTTACACTGATTTCACTGAGTTTTGAATAAGGTAGTATGGAGACAGAAACCATACTATAGCTGTTATGATTTTGCTAATGTCGAAGGTGATCACAATGAACTTACAAATGTGCCAAATATTATTCTTGGGATCTGTTTCCTTCTTACTGAATTGAGTAGTTTAGCAACTCCCCCTAGCACTGGGGAGGCTGGAAGGGGGTAAGAAAATGGTACTAATCCCTAACCGAGCAGCAGAGCACTCTTCTAAGCCCTTAGTATCTAATAGTGTATTTGGCAAGATAGATACAGACTGGGAAAAGGTTTGAAACATTTAAACAGGAAGTGTGATGGCAGGTAAGGTCTATGTTAGTTCAGAACAAGAAGAATGCTGAAAGAAAAGAGGGTGAGGGACGAGGGTGGACAAGGATAGAGATAAGAAAGAGATCAGGCATGGTAATAGACATATTGTGGAGTGGGCTGCAGCAAGCAGCTGACAAGTGCAACGCAGAGGAAGGCTAGTTAAAAGCACAGAGAGCTTTGTAAATGGCCTGTGTGTCCTTGATTTGACTACTAATGTTTCTAGAAGCCATAGTGTTGGTGGTTAATTCCTCTTTCCAAGCTCATATATCTAGCTTCCTTTTGTGGGAACAAGATTCCTCATACAGGAACATGAATTGTTCCTGTATGAAAGCAGTGGACAAAAAGGTCTACATGAGAGTATAATTCTCTAAGAATTTGCTGGTCCTGAACTGAACCTGCTTTTATTTCTTGAACTCATGTTTATTGCTGCTTCGCTTCACACCTGCACTGGTGGCCTGTAACCTCTGGCTTGTTTGAGCTCTGACTGAGACACGTGTTAACACCTCCTTCCTTTGTATATGAAATTTGTGTTGTGTTATCAGCTCTTGCGTCAATGGGAATCTGGATAGTTATCTGTAGTGCAGCTCCCTCGTAAACCGTACAGTCAAGGGATAGTAGGAGATGTCAGTGTGAATGCTTTTAGGCTGTTGCAGGTCCTTGGATCCTATGATTTTTAAAAGTAACTTTTCACTTTCCCTATGGTTCACAGCGGTAGAAGTAGGGGAGACAGTCTACCACCTCTTCTGGACAAGAAGTTTCTCTCTGGGTGGTGAGAATGCCAATGTTTCTCATCCCTTACTTGGGAATTACCCTTATGGAGATTATTCTCATCAGTCACCAACCAGCTGGCAGATTAAACTGATGGGGAAAGTAGAAATAATTTCCCTATTATACTAATAAAGGTATAGGGATGGTTAAATAAAGTATGAACATTAGTGTGACAGATGATATTGACAGGTGTTTTGCAGGCTATTTAGTTTTCTCCTGAAATCAATACTACATCTACAACATTTTTCTAAAATGCTTGTAGAAGATACATTCTTACATTGTCTCAATAGCAATTAACATAGCAGAATTTGAGACACATAAACCATCTGAATAAAATATGCTATTGACTATATTTGTTTATGGGAAATCAAATAAAAAGCCCACTGCCATAAAAGCTTTTGCCTTTTTTTACTAGATCACCTTTGTAACTCTGCTTAGTCGTTATGTATCCTGCATGCTTATCAGAATTAGCTTTTGGTGTTTATACTCTGAATGTATGTGATATGCAGCAAACTGCTTTTGTTTATTTTTATAGATTATTCTCTGTACAATAATATATATTATCTGTATTATGTAATTCAGTTCTTTAAGAACTGAGTTATGATAGTCCATCAATAAATAAATGGATGTGAATATGAGGCTATTATTTCTTCTATTTGTGCTTATCTTGTGACAATGATTTAATGATAAACACATTTAAGGAAAAGCAAGGCAGAACTTGCACAAAGAAACTGAGAGATGCTTTTGATGGATGAGGTCACAGTGTGGTGAAGTCCAGATGCTAGTTATACATTAAAAGTTTCTACAGCTTTGCTAGGGAAGGAGGCCTGGGTCACAGGTCTTACCACTTGAACTGGAATTTGGTGCTAGCTGACTGCCAAAATTACTAGTTGTGCCAGTCCAGAATAGAGCATAATCAGAGGTCCAGAAACAACAGTGTACATGGATATCTTGACAAAATAAATTGAATTCCTTCAGAGAAGAGAAAATTCAATTTGTGGAAGGGAAGGAAAGAAGGGAGATCAAGATGAAGAGGTAGGGAAGGAAAAGGGTTATGCAGCCGTATATAGCCTCTATTGCCTCTGACATAGTACTCATGAGGTGGAAGGCATTTAAGGCTTTTTCTGCCCCTAAAAAATCCAGGTCTAGTTACAGATATGGATTGAGAGGTCCCCACAGCAAGATACCCTGTGTCCTGGTAGTTAGAGTGGTCACAGAGGAGATAGATTCAAGTCTCCGCAGCAGACCTTGTGGCTTCCCTATTCTGACTGAGTACTCTGGCTGAGAAGGGAGGAGCCTAGAGGCTTATTTTCCACTAATTTTGCTGTCTTTTAAACATCTTAATCTTGAGAAGATACTCGGTTCTTGTTTCTGGTACAATCCCCCTTAAGTTTCAATTAACAGCACTCCAGAGTTGGCACGTGGTTTAAAATTCATCTGGGCGAGAACTTTAACTGGCAGTGGGAGATATTGGCACTTGATGTGTTATTTGTCCAAGGGATATATGCAAGAAAAACAACTGCTTTCACTGTGAAGACACACTAACATAGGAAGAAAATGAAAAGTAGGTAAACTAAATAAAAACCTCATATTAGAAATAAAGAGAAAGAAAAAAGACACCAAAGAGGAAGAATAGGAATGAGAAAGAGATGAGATGAAAGAAAATTAAAAGAAATAACTGACATAAATTGAGTAACTGTGACAGGTACTGAGTTGAAACAAAGCAGGCTACAGAGAATGCAGAAAAGGTCTGATTTAGTAAAAGACACAGATGTCAAATACAAACAAGTCAGACCAATGAAAATAGAATACCACAGGGGGGAAAAAAGAATAATCAGAACGGCAAAACTATCTTCTAAGGTAAAATTTACTACTATAAGGAATGCTGACTTGGACATGATAGGGCATGAAAGGTGTTATATTTATTTACACTTTCTATGTTGTATTGCTGAGTTTTGTCAACAGAGATAGGTGTTAATTCACAGAGCACAGTTGGGACACTGGATGTGTTATTGTTATTCAGAAACATGATTATTTTCACTTTTAATAAAAGAAAGAAAATTAGGTGCCTATTGACTTCTGAAGAAATCAGGCTTTCACAAAACGTGTATTCAGTCAATTTTATACTGCATTCAGCATTCTCTGATCTTTGATAATTCATGACTGCTGCAAAGTAGAAAATTTCTGAAATGATGTATCTTTAAAATCCAACCAAGAATAGATTAATCTTAAGGTTCTGTGTCCTGGCCTTGGTCAGAATTTTGGCAGAGGCATTGCAGGAATTCCTACTGAGATGCTTAGGAGAGTGATATTAGTGATTAGTCCCCTCAGACTCAGAATAAATCAGTATCTTGGCATGGCACAATGGAGTGTTATGCTAGCCCTTTTAATAGTGACTGAGTTGTAAAACTAAGAATGTGGTCAGATATGAATAATATTATTTTTCCTTTTTTTCAAAGAAACATTAGGACAATTAAACACCTGAATTCCATTCAGTTTCAATGAAAGTTGAGACCCTAAATGCCTTCAGATATGTGCAAATGCCTAAATGTTAACAATATTCAGTACGTAAGATATCGTTAGGCAGAATTTTAATATATCTTTAACATATTTTCAAGTGAATAGAGTCTTATTCATATCTTGCTCTAAGTTATTTTCTACATTTATAGCACTGTTGGGTGATTTCAATTTCAGTTCCAGTTGTGCAGTCTAAAAGAGTGCATGGCATGGTATTACCTAGAAACAGGAACACGGTTGGTATTAGGCACTTTTTTGCTTTTTGCTTTGGAAACTTGTCAAGTGTAGTGTTGCTTCACCCCAGTCGTACTGCTGTTCTGAAGCACATATTGTGTCTCTGTATTGACTCTCTCTGGATTTCTGCTGTTGCAGGCAGTGCTGCATTTGAAACAATGCCATACATGTATGACAAAAAAGGGAAGGTTACAGCTGCAGCTTGCTAAATAGCCTCCTTTAGCTTAAAGTTTTCAAGTTCACAATGTACTTAGGTTTCCATGTGAAAAATAACTGAAAAATATTTTCAGAAAACTGACCTACTATACATTCTACTTTTTTTATTCCAGGGGATTAAAGATTTTTCTGAGAGGTCTCATTTCCATAAATGCAGCATTTGGAAGGTGATAAATATTTGGATTTATCAAGGCAAAACTTCTATTATTTTGTTTATTAGACCTCACAGGATATCTTCTTGTTTATTTGTAATTTTCTTCAAAACTCTGTAACATTTTTAGTTACAAAATTTTCATGAGTGCATGCATGTTGAAAAAAATATACATCTCCTCTCTTTGTACCTTGTACAATATACTTTGCAGCTCCTTTTTATTTTCAACCTGTTGTTTTAAACATTTTCAGTGATAACACTGTGTTTGACAAACATGACCTGACAACAATTGAACAGTTTTTAATTCAGCATGTATGTCTCAAATCCTGACATACCTGGCTTGCAGCTTCTGCTTTCAGATCTTCATCCGGATCTATGCCAACTCTGTTAAAAAAAGCCCAAAACAAAGACATATGGTAATGATCTGATGTATATTAGAGCTTTGAGGGTACAAGTGTTTCTCTTGAACCATTCATTTCCTGCTAGGTGAGAAATGCGGAGAAGAGCTGGCAAAACATTAAGATCACTTTTTTTAATCAAGGAAGTTCTTAAGTTTTTTAGGAAACTTGAGATTCTTTTTAACTGCCACTCATAACACCTGAGACTAGATTTTTAACCTGGCTCTGATCCATAACTGGGGAGAGACAATCAAGTCATTAACCTGTGCTGTGAAATCTTTAATTACTGGCAGAGGAGAGGTGTTGAGGAGGAACTGGAGTTACAGAGGTATGTGGAGGACAGGACTGCAGGACTCAGGCGTTTCTTGGCTGTGCTGCATTATGGAGAGCTTGTAGCATTTGGAAAGGGCTTTACTTGACACACGAGGTACAGGGAAGCAGACCAGAGGGGGGAGGAGATTGTAGTGGGTGATGTACAAGATGATGAGAACCTGGTTGACATGTTACTAATATGGACAAGGAAAAAAAAAAATTGGCTGTTAAAAGTGATGTGGTAGAAGAGTTGGCATATTTTGAATATGGCTGATACTCACGAGAACTGCAACTGAGAAATGTTATGAGTTGAACAACAGAGGCTTGTGCTGATGTTCACACCAAGAAAGGAAGGAGAGCAGTGAGGGATGATGAATAATGAACCTTCTTATCGGTGGAATCTGAAGCCTACAGCTAGGGTGACCAACAGCCCTTGAATGCCTCACAAGCTCCCACATAGTATCAGGTCCACCAAGCTAATACAGAATTTACTGATGCAGAGAAAATTTCACTAGATATTTATTTAAGGCCACTTTACTGTTTTTCTGACAGTCTTCCTTCTTGAGTATATTTTTGCTTTTGGTAATAACACATCAAAATAGATTTTAAAATAATATTAAATATTAACAATTACATGCCTCAGCATTTTTTCCTGTAAATATTATGCATACACTCTTATTCAGTCAGAGACAATGACAGGAACTGTATGCAAAATAGATGCTTTTTATATGTAAATACTGAATGGAAGAGAAAGAGACGTTTGTTTCTATCATAGCTCTTGAGCTTCAACAAATCTGAGTCCTTCAGGCATAGATATTTCTATCTTTTTATTAAAAATAATGATCCTGGTGCTGACTCAACAAGGAGACAGAATAAATACCTGTTTCTTTTCCTTTTTTTTTTTTTTTGTTGTTCTTTAAATTGCTAGAAAAAGCTTCTGGTGGCATAACCTATTCATTAGTCTGGAGTAAAGCAAGTTAGGTACTTTCCATTTCATTAAAATGGAAACATTTATGTAGGAAAAGAAAAAGAAACATTACATAGAGGTTTAACCATCTGTCTGATATTTGGATTTGTTGTTGTCATGTACAGAACAGTGGTGTCTAGGGCCTTATCTGTGCTTGGCAATGTAAAACTAAGCAGTGTGAGACAGCCCTGCACTGCAGAGTGTACAGCATAAGTACAGCGGGATGTGAAGGCTGAAACAATGGCACAAATGCAGGTGTGATGGTCCCAAACTCATAAAACAGGTCAGAATCAGAAAGAGATTCCCAGTCTTCTAAATGCAATTACATGCCCTGTTTATTACACTACGCTTATTCACTAGATGTGTTCACCAGCCACACTATTTGGCCAATACAGAAAAACACCGGCAGTACAGTAGTTAAGGGTCTGCACAGTTCTGGAAATAAGAAGATTCAAAGCATTTACGCCTGATAAGTGCAGCTGGAAGGCAAGGCTACAACACAAACTTCCCCAAACTGGCTTCTCCTTAATGAACTTGACTTGACCTCAAAGAATCAGTCTCCTGGGACAGAAGTAATTTAGCCTTCATGCAGTTCTGAACTTACTGGAGTTGAGAAACGGCCAGTTCTGACTGATTGTGTGTGTTGGAGTTGTGATACGTTTATTATAGCATGAACTCTAAGACAACAGAAAACATTTCACCCGGGACTTAGAGGACAGTAATAGCAAATGTGCAGAAGAGTAGGCAATAGGGCCAATAGGAATCAGAGTATCTGGCTGTAATATTGTTTCAGAACAGTGATACACCTACTAAGTAATCATATTGACAACAGGAATCCACTGGCATAGAAAAAAACCCCTAGATTTACAGAGTTTTGCAGAATTTGTGGTGTGCTTAAGTTTCTCTGCATGTATAATTTCTAATCCTTATAGTAACAGAGATAGCTAGCTGTTTTGCCTTGTTTATCCTGCAGAAAATAGATTATTATAATATGACACATATGAAGATACTCACATGAAATCTTAACGGGAGTATTACATTTAAAGCCAGAAAAAAACCCAGCAATAAATGTTTAATGAAATCACACTTCCGTCTTTACTTTTTCATATATGAAAAATCTAAGAAGGCTTCTATGTGGCTGAGGGAGCTGGGGTTGTTTAGCCTGGAGAAGAGGAGGCTGAGGGCAGACCTTATCACTTTCTACAACTACTCAAAAGGAGGTTGTGGCAAGGTGGGAGTCGGTCTCTTCTCCCAAGGAACAAGCAATAGGATGAGAGGAAATGGCCTCAAGTTGTGCCAGTGGAGGTTTAGGTTGGATATTAGGAAAAATTTCTTCACCAAAAGGGTTGTCAAGTGTTGGAACAGGCTGCCCAGGGAAGTGGTGGAGTCACCATCCCTGGAGGCATTTAAAAGATGTGTAGGGACATGGTTTAGTGGTGGGCTTGGCAGGGCTAGGTTAACAGTTGGACTTGATGATCTTAAGGGTCTTTTCCAACCTGAACAACTCTCTGATTCTATGAACGCTACAGAGCCACAGATGATGTTTTCCTTTAGTCTGGTCTCTACTCTCATTTAAAACACACAGACAGATGCCATTGCTGTTTTTCTTATGGAATAGTATCTCGTTACTGGAAATTAGTGTGGGTAGCACATTCTTACCTATTGATTTAAAAGCCCTTGGGAAAGGGACCCCAGATCATTCTTTGTATTCTATGGGAGAAGTTTTTAATGCATTAAAATAGCAATACATTTTTGTATTAATATGAATATTAGCAATTTTATTAAGTATGCACTAGGCAGACTCAGTTCAGTCAGTTCTGAAATTGAGGCTAATTATTTCATATCCAAACGTAGGCTTGGGATCCTAACATCAGGCACCTAGCATTGAAAATCATGGTCTGCTATAATTATCTCTGATATACTTGACATGAACTAGAATGCTATTTTTAAATTGCAAATGTTGAAAAAACAAAGCATAACAAATTATATGAGACAGTTAAGACAACTGAAATTAAGCACAGATACGCACTTCAAGTTTACTTCCTTAAAAGACCTGCTAGATCTAATGCTATTTCCACTAGAATTTGCAAACTTAAAATTTGTATAAATTACTATGAAGATCTCTAAGAAATACTCTGTTGCTAATATTTGTATAAATATTCTTTCTTGTTTAACCTTCTCACTTTTCCATTTCTGTGAGAAGATTTAATGGATGGTCAGAAAAATATTTTCTTAGTATTTTTTTTTTTCCTTTCTTGCTGTCAACTGTCTCTTTTCTTCTGTTATCTTGTTTTACTTCTTGCAGTCTCCCTTTTCTGTCCTTCTGTCCCACTTCCCTCATTGCTCTCTATTACTTGTTCATTTCTTCTTGGCTCTTCTGAATATTGTATGCTTTTATTTTTGCGTTTCTATTTTTTCATCTTTTTATTCTATACGTTAAACATGTAGGATGACTTCTCTTCCATAATAACAAATGTCATGACTTTTTAATCAGATCTATATTGTAGTGTAGTGGAGTTTATCTACTCTGTGTATTTAGATAGGCTTTAGTAATGTCTTGGATTCAAATGCCCTAGGTATGAAGGAATTCAAAAACTCGAAGGCTGCTCTGTGGTGTTGTTTTTATTTTGGGTCTTTTTTTGGGGGGTGTGGGGGGGTGGGTAGGTGTGGGTGGATTTTTTTGTTTTTAAATAATGGCTGGACCAACACCTGGATTTAGATTGTTTGAAGTTGCTGTATTCAAAATCTGGAAGTCAAGCTTGTGACTTCAGCCGGTCTCTAGCAATTAGACCTAAGGATTTCTAGGAACTGTGCATTAGTCTGCAGAAGTACCCTTTACAGTTGATGGTATTTAAATCCCCATGTGCTATCAAGTGCAGATTTTTTTTAGCAACAGTCAGAATGCATTTGGTAATAAGAGGAGGAATTTGTCACTGAATACAAAGTAGTTGATAACATCTTTTCTTATGTGGTTTGAAATGAAAATGGATGGAAAGATAAATCCCAAATTGTCAAGGGAACCAGTAGTAAGAAATACAAAACTAATCCATAGGAATACTGAGTAGTAAATCACTATTCAAGCTTTGCAAACTTTTAATTCCCTCACTTCAAATCACCACAAAGTCAATGTTGTAGGATAAAATCTCTGCTTTCTACAGTAAAGCCACAGAAAAACATATAGACTCATGTCTTCATGAGGATCTAGGCATGCAGAGCAGAATTTTTGGTGTCTATACTTACAAGTGTGATTCTCAGCCCTCCCTCACTTTAGGTGCCAAGAAATCTGTAAATAGAGGTATTTCTCTGAAATCTGAATTCTAATTACTGAAATTTTACTTCTGGGTCTGTATAGGCTTTCTGTATTTGCAGAATGGAGCCTGGTTTGTGCAAGCTGAATCTTGTTTGCAGTCCCACATAATCTAGTTTGCACCTCACTGGTTAGCTGAGCTCTGGATGAGGCAGCCAGGACTGCTTTTATTTGAAAAGATGTCCTGAGAGCATGTAGTTGATTCCATCCCCTTTTTATTTAATGACTGATCAATTCCAGTATCCTGCAAAGAACTGGGAAGTCTGGTTTCATCAGTTACCTCCAACTGAGGTGATTCCACACCACCCCTCTCAGAAGTGCCATAAATACTGGCCTGAGAATGATATGGGTGGTGGCACTATCCACTGTCCTGCTGATATTGTCCTGTCCTACCAAATAT